TATGTATATTTAAGCTCATACTTGACTTTCTGCTGGCTTATTGATGGGATTAATATAAGGAAATGTGTTGTGTTTCCCAGGACTTTGCCATTAACACAGTGAAGAGCACCCATGAGTTCTGGAAGGCTCTAATCTCGAAGAAGACCAGTGCTGGTGATTTAAACTGGTGAGTTCACAGTCAGAATATCCTCCATCAGGCAAACAGAGGGCAGTAAATGTGAGAAATGCTGCAAGATGTTTTTCCTGACATTGAGAAAATAAGCCTTTCTTGGTCCGTTACACTTTTAAAGCTGAAGTTATTTCCTTTTCTTTTCTTTCTCTCTTGTGTCAGCATGAACACCAGTATCTCTGACAGTCCGTTCTGCTGCTCTGCTGGTGATGCAGAGGCTGTGGTTAAATCTGTGAGTCTGTACTTTTTTCACCATCTTGTTAGGTTTAAATTCTACAACCTTGATTTGAATAGACACAATAACCAGATAGCACTCAAAAGAAAAACAGAGGATCATTATGGAGACAGAAAAATACTGAAGGCCTTTTCTCCCAGTTTGCAGCTGATCCTCATCCAGGTGCTGGTTTTGAGTCAAATAGAGAATAAATTTAAAGGCTTTCACAAAAATAGAAAACTGCCCAAAGATATGTAGAGCATATACGTTCTTTTACAATGTCCACATACACCAGTCATAAAAAAGATACTGGATGGAGTTGAGAGGCTTCAAATGCACGACAGCCAATTTCTTTGCTGCTGTAAGGCCCACATTTGACAAGTCATTCAGAATGAGTGTGATGGGAAAGCAGGGCACCTTGATTTCATAGAGTTTTTATACATATAACACTGAATTTACTAAATAGAAACTATTCCTTGTGACATCTAAAGTGCATTTGTAAAACAAAAATAAGACTTGAATGATTTTGCTTACTATTGCAGACGTGTGCTCCTGGAGCTGAAGATCCTGTTCCAAGCCCAGGTTGGTGTTTAGTGTATTTACTTGTTTTTTTGCTGCCACTCTGCTTTGTTACTCTATTAAAAATAACACATGCTTGATTATTTTTCAGTTGACAAATGGTTCTACTATGAGAAGTAAGGAGGAAAAGAGCAGAAACATGAAGATGTGGCTTTTATCGCCTCCTTCTCTCCTGTCGTCCTTCTCCTCATTTCAACTCGTCTGAGCAGCACATGGACTGGAAAGACTGGACGTCACATTTCAACTGCTTTTTTGTTCACAATTTTTGTTGTTGTTGTTAGACCAATAATTTCAAGCTTGACAGATCACTATAATAAACCACACTAAATCCCAGTCTATAGTGTATAGTATTGATTTAATTACTACAGGTCATCATTATCATTCAGATGTGAGGAGAGAATATTGATCTGAAGTGAATAATGGTTCATTTATGGGAAAATACCAACAGAGAGAAATCAAGAAGCACACAGTTGTTTCTAACAATCCTCCATAGTCCAAAAATTCTAAAGGAAATTAAATAGCAAAAGTCCTGTGTGTGATATTCAAACAGATACTTAAATCTTATAGCTACAATAAGCTTCAATATGTGGATATATTTGTTTGTGTGATTAGAAAAAACCAACATTATTAGGATTAATACTTGACAAATACTTCTTAGAGTCTGTGGAGCCCAATTGGACTCCACTAGATGAACCAGTATCATAACTAAAGTGACAGGTGCATGTTTGCATTGAAAAGATTCAGTAACAGTTGTTGACAATGTCCTCACTCTGTCTATGCTTCAAATGGTCCTCACAAAATGATACATACAGGAACTCACACACGTTTGTACAGCTTCTTACTGAGGACACTCATTGGCATAATGCATTCCCCAGCCCCTTAACCTAAATCATTCAAACTAAATGCCTAACCCTAACCCCTTAACCTAACCTTAACCTAATTCTAACCCTAAAACCAGGTCTTGACCCCCAAACAGTCCATTAAAGGTGAGGACCGGCCGAAATGTCCTTACTTAGACACAAATGTCCTCACTCCGCAGATTAATGGCCAAAACTGGTCCTCATAAAGATAGCTGTACACACACACACACACACACACA